GGACTATTTTATCCTTTCATTTTTTTTATTTTTGTTCTAATAAATTATCCTTTAGAATTTCATCGGTTCGTTGGTCAACTGTTGCCCACGGCTGAGACAGTTGGTCAGACCTAGAATCTGTGTGTTACAGATGTTTGAAACTCAATCTTGAATCTTTGGAGCTAAAGATAGGGGCGTGGCCACTTTGAGTCACAGGTAGAGCAGGTTAAAGCCTTTACCTCATTTGATGAGAGAAATTCTGCTCTTACTCTGCACTAATTGTCAAAAATGATGCATCCATGCATGAACAGCAAAATCACAAAGACTAGATACAGCATCAGGTGTGAACCACCAGTTGAAATGTAACACACAGGTGAATATTTCATTCAGAAAACCTCCACTTATAAGTTACCTTTACCAAGGTATTTGTTGTTGTTGTTTTTTTGTCTACAGTGAAGTGTATATATTTAAGTTGTTTCAGTTTTATTTTTATTGACTTTACTTAACTGATGTATGTGTCTGTGTGTGCTACTAATTTATGCAACTGTACATAATTGCATTTTTAATCTCAAAGATTAAATGCATAAAATAAAACTTGTTGCAGTTATCATTCCACAAAACTTTTGGATATTACTTTGTAGTTTGTTCTTGTTTCTTCCAGAGATTTCTGATCATTTCTCTTGACTTCTTTTAAGCATGGTTATGTTCCCAGGGCACAGAAAGTAGCTTAAAGCTGTCCTATTTATCAAATGTAACATTTTTAGTCCCACTTATAACTACTAATTAAAGAAACAAGACCAGTCCTATTTTTGGTGGTCAACACATTTGAAAATGGAGCCAGGCTAATACAATATATAAGTCACAGCTGATCCACTTACACATCAGAGCAGCATCACATCAAGTCCACAGAGAGGAGAAGGAGAGAAACTTTGTCTAAGTCCCCATTTTATTTACAGAGTAGAATTTATGCAAATCTATTCACTTATTATAAAAGCCATTTCACAGAAGTACACCCTTGTACCGTTTCCAGGGTTAGGGATGAGTTTAAGTAGCGCACAGGTGCTACTAATCAAATACACTTGATTAACTGATCACTAATAAGTGAGCACCTGTTCAGAAGCCTCTTCTCTAAAAAGAAATTGGCAATGCAGCTTAGGTTTGTAAACTTACATCTCAACAAACCACAAGACCTCTGCAACAATATGCTTTGAACACACAAGAAGATGTTGGGCTACTATCCACCAGAGGTGTGGACTCGAGTCACATGACTTGGACTTGATTCAGACTCGAGTCATTAATTTTATGACTTTAGACTTGACTTGAAAAAATGTTCTAAGACTTGTGACTTGACTTGGACTTTTACACCAATGACTTGGGACTTGAATTGGACTTGAACCGGTTTACTTGAAAAGACTTGATATTTTACCCCAAATATAAAATTTAACATGCATATTATATAGAGATTGAAAATGTGACGTCATTCACGGGTAGAACCGCAAAGGATTCTGGGAACTCGTGGCAAGCGGTACTAGCGCACGCAGGCTTTCAATTGAAATCAGTCATACAGCGATAAAAAGAAACACAAAAATGTCAAGAAGCTGTTGTATTATTAACTGCAATAGCCGGTCGCATGACAGCCACGGGAAGCCGACGGGTAAAGAGATCGGTTGTTATCGGATTACGTCGTTGAAGAGAAATTGTTCGAGCCATGTTTCCGAAGTAACAAAGAGGCGACGGATGGCCTGGATTGCAGCCATTCAAAGATCAAATATAACGTCCCAGAACACTCCAGCTCACAGGTTAGTCTGCTCCAAGCATTTACACGAAGGTCAGTGTTTTTTAGTAGTTAATACGTCATTTTCATAACATAATTGGTGATATAGGTTACAAGCAAGTCTGGCGCTGAACAGAAATTGTCGCGCTATGCTCCTTTATTTATTGTGCATAAATAGTGAATTGTCCTGACACAATATTGCGTTTCGCTTCTGTTATTATGGTACATTGACAAAAACATATACTTTTATTCACAGGATAAAACAGGTTTTTTGTATCACTAATTGCCCAGTACGATTACAGCATACAGTATTATTGTCACTGCTACATTTCTGTGATGCTACCAGAAATTATTTCCACTACTAATTAATTACCGTTGAGCTCAAAGGTCCTATTAATAAACGGTTAAGAATGTGTATTTATGAAGACGATTTGTGAGACTGGTAAACTTATGATACGTACGATGGTCTTTCGTTCTACACGGTGCATTTCAAGGTCCTGTCACCCATCCGTCGGTAAACTGTACCTGGGCTTGTTGCAGTGACCTGAAGTTACTAAACTTCATGAGTGTATGCACTCACTCCAAGAACCGTATAATTATAAATATGCATATAAATATGCTAACGATGAGATAGCTGACTTCATCTAACTAGCAAATGTTGTCCAGGCTACGTTGGTGATACAGTTTTTTTTAATGTGTATGATATTTTTGTCATGCGATTTTAAAGCTGGTCCTACAACCGCATCCAAGAATAACATGCAGCTTATCTCAGAACTGTCGGTGAAAATTATTCTTGGAGCTAGGTTTAATTGAGCTGCATTTTAAAGAGGTGCAATTTCACAATTTGTGTATATTTTCTAAGTTCACTATTTTGTCATGTGTTGAGAAAAACACAGATTTTAAAATTACATGGTCTAATATTTACATTTAGCATAACTGCAACATGCTTTTTTTCGTTTTTTTTTTTTTAAAGACTCGAAAGGACTTGAAATTCAAAGTTTCAGACTTGTGACTTGACTCGGACTTTTACACCAGTGACTTGAGACTCGACTCTGACTTGCCTGACATTACTTGAGACTTGACTTGAGACTTGAGGATAAAGACTTGAGACTTACTTGAGACTTGCAAAACAATGACTTGGTCCCACCTCTGCTATCCACAGCTCCACTTTTGGCGAAAACCAGACACACATGCTTGATACCAACTGTCGAACACGGTGGACAGCAGTCATGATTTGGGCTTGTTTAAGAGGCCAGCTTTGCTACAGCTGAAGCTTGGCTGAAGCACCAGGACAAGGATCCAAAGCACAAAAGAAAATCTACAGCAAAATGACTAAAAAAAGAAAAGAATCAAGATGTTGCAATAGCCCAGTCCAAGTCCAGACCTCAACCTGATTAGAAATCCTGCCGCAGTATCTTAAAAGAGCTGTGCATGAACGAATGCCTACAGTAAAGATGAGTGGGCCACAACCTTGTGTCTGAAAAAGTCAAACAGTCATGCATTTGGTTTTACAAGTTACTGAATCATGAGGTGTATTCAGTTTTCTTTTTCACACTACTGTGTTTTATTTTAGTTTTGAAAAAAATATTTCAGAATATCAGAATTGAAATATAAAAGCTACAAAAATAATCCCATTTCCTTTTTTATTTAGTATAATGACGGTAATTTTCTTCACAAAGTGCTAGCATTTTGCTATGGTGTTTGGTAAATTAAAGACTCATAATGGCACCAGTTAATTATAATAAACATTGAGAGCTAAATCAAAGAAAACCATATGTGTATTAAAAGCTATATAATCAAAATGACTGGGGTTCTGGTGGGTGACGGGTATTAGGTGGCTAATGCTAAACACTTTCTGCTTGTTTATCTAGTACTTATAGAACTTTATTCACTGTTGTAACTAGAGATGGCACGATACCACTTTTTTATGTCCGATACCGATATCATAAATTTGGATATCTGCCGATTCCGATATGAATCCGATATAGTGTGTTTTTAAATCAATAAAACTGTTTTTTAAATATTTTGCTGCATTTGTATAAGTTCACACTCAAGTTTAAATAAACAACAACACTAAAGAGATTCTGTTATACCTGTAAAATAATTCATAGTTCAGCAATACTGATCAATCTAATAAACTTAAACCTACTCCATCCTTCCTATTCTGGTATTTTAAAGAGTACTTCGCAGAAATATTAAGCAACCTAACTAATAGGGTTGCAAACTCCCAGCAAAGAAAATAGGGAACCACCCCCCACCTCATGATGCTTAATCGACGTAATCAACTTTAATTTGATGCAGTGTGGGGGAAAGAAAAATGCACAGAAATAATTTATTTTTCAAGAATAATTAAATAGATTCAACATCTTTCTTCTACAGAATTGCAGACTGCACAGGTGGTACCTTCCCAAAGGAAAAAGTACTAGCTTACTAGGGTATATTAGACTTAGCAGTTACTATATACAGTAATGGACTTCTATATTTTACATCAGATTAAAACTTTGGGTGTAAGATTCAGATAATTCATTATTAAAAACGAGACATTTTAAATGAGAATAAGGGAAAAAAAGTATGTCTTTGTGCCCCCTTTTCCCTGTTCATGCCCTATCGGCCCCCCTGGCTAAACTTTGCTAGATCCGCCCCTGCACAGTTACCAGCAGTCAGCTGCTTAGAAAAGGATCCTGGTCTAGAAAGTAATATTAAATAAATTCTAACAACAGCTTATCAATGTTAAACGTGCTGCTGTTGTTCAGCCGCTGGTTTCCTCTTTCTGGCGCGAAGTGGGCGATAAACAAACAAGAGAGACGGACTCGTGACAGAAAAGCCGATCAGCTGATCATTGATCAGTTTCATGATTGAAGTAGCAGCAAGAAGAGGCAGTCGCTCCATATATCGGTTGTTAAGCTTAACGCAGGAATGCTTTACAAACATTCAGAGATGAACTTACACACTTGCTTTACTTCTCTCTGGGATAACTTCATCGGAGATGAAATGCTGGTTTGGTAGCACAAATACACACCGCCGCTCTATCACGTGAGCACACTGCTCCTACATGCTACGGTTATGAGCCGAGTTACGCCATGTCGCAAGTTTTGTGAGGTGCTTTTTTTTTTAATTTAATGGATCGGATTACATTTTTTATTTCTCTCTGATATCCGATCCAGTAATTTACGTCAGTATCGGACCGATACCTAATATCGGATAGGTCCATCTCTAGTTGTAACCCGTTCAAGGTTCTCTATTCTTTATTCTTCATTCTACTAAAAAAGTGAGGGAAATGACCTTTTATGAAACCCGTTAAAGTCCATATTCATTCTGGACTATCAGGTTAATGGCACCCATTGCAAGGAAGTTCTCCCCTATTGATTAACTCTCTGGTAAGTCAATTCTGACCTATCTCTATATGAAATTCGATGGACTGATTGTAAAGGTTTCACACAGATAAGTAAAGAGAATAAACGTGATTGATCTATTTTTTTTTTTTAAATAACTAAAAGGTTATACATGCTGGTTTATTTGTGTTTCATGATATCAGAATGGGGGGAGTCTTATACAAGCTCTTGAATTCACTAAAGCCTCAGAGGAAAGGAAGAATGGCAAAACAACTGAGCTGTATGTGTAAGGCTGCCATCTACTGAGAACTGTCTTGAATTTGGACAGATCCAGGTTTGCAGTGGCAGGAACAGCGTCTGCTCCCTCAGAAAATCATGTTCCCTCTGTGCTCAGCAGTCATGGCTGAGGGAGGGTCCTGCTGAGACGAGTAATGAGGTAATTGAATTTCAGTTCATTAAGAGCTCCTTCTTGCACCTCATGTCACAATTTCATGTTTATTAAAGAACCTCGACTGTTTACATAAATCCCCATGTCAAAAGCACTTCAAGCCTGCTGCTTGAAAGCTTCAAAATTCGTGCAGTTCGAGCCACACCCCAATCAGTGATGCCACAGCAGACGTTTTGCCTTTCACAGCTACAAAAAACCAAAAAACTGCCGTGGCATCGTTCATCCAGGTGTGGGAAGAAGTGAATCTTTGAATTTTCTTTATTGCAGTATTTCTTTTTTTTCCCCCAGTAGGGAAAAACCGTCATTAGCTCCTTTGCTGTAATGTGTGTGTTTTCCGTTTCAAGTGAACCGCAGTAATAATAACAAACTCTTCTCGCCGCTGCACGAGTGCCGATCCAAACCAGCGGTGTACATGAGGAGGAGGGCTTGTTGCTAGGTTGCATATTCCTTCAGTTACAAAGCTCTTTGATACCTGCGTCGCTGTATGCTTTCACAGACATGCACCCACTTACTTGGCTCAGGCCAGGCACCTACACACGCACACATTCACAAAAGACCACACTAACACAGAGACATGCACCAGCAGGTAGGCCTGCTTTTTTCTCCCCACCCTTTTTTCCTAAATCAGGGCAACAATGGGCACGCTTCCACCCAGCAAACCATCAAGGCAGCCTTGACTTCGGGCAGCAAGACAGGACCCGTCTAACCACACTAACAAGGTGAGCAGACAGTGTGAGTTGTTGTGGCGGGTGTCTGTGCTCCTTCAGGAGGAACTGACAACAACTGGACTGGCACCACTAATAAGGTGTCAGTGCAGCTCTGCCCCACGCTCAGAGAACAGCCATGCAGCTCACACCGAAGGGCCTGCTGCACCAAGCAGGATCCAGGTATTAAAACGAACAGAGGGAAGGGTTTTGTTTTTTTCTTTTCCACACTTTCACACAAACAGAAAACACCACCCCATTCCTATCGGAGATGCTATGCACTATTTTGTGCCAGATTAGGATGGATGGGAGGAGGAAATCTTTTCCACGCACAGGCAGAGACACGTGGGACAGCTCACCAACAGACACCCGCTGTGAGGGCAGTGAATGGAAAACTGAAGTCACTTGCCTCGCCATTTAAGGGATAGGGTTGGGTTTTAAAGCCTCTACATGGGATGGTGTGCAGCTGTGCATGTGGAAGGAATCCACTGATTGGTTAGAGCAAAATAAAACAAAATTGGCACGTTTTTTTGTTTTCTTTTTGAGGAAAAATCAGATGTTATGTTGAATAAAATCAGATTAAATAATTTCTGATTAAGTCAGTGGTTCATTTATGGGGCAGATCAGACGGCCGGTCGCACGTTAGCCTCAGATGAACTTTTGAATGCATCGACACAGAATGGACTCAATTTCTAGTCTCTCAAAATTTCAGCATGAAACAGGAGGAACGTGTGCACCAGCCAGCACCTCGTCCGTATGGCATTTAGCTTTTGTATTAAGGCAAACTTTAATTAAATATAGGAACCCATCCGTGTCGGTGGTTACACAGCCTTAAATGTGTATATTTGTAAGCTGTGACCATATTAACATGAAATGCATAATACACAAAGGATGTTTTTGGGTTTTTGTTTTTTTTTTGCTTTGAGAAGGTAAAGATGAAGTGCACTAGGCTTGGCTGCTATCTTCGTTTTATTAGGCTTTGCCGCGCTGGTGAGGCTTACTTTGCAGCCTGCATTCTAATGAGAGAGAAAGCAAGGATGAAGGAAGTATGGAGGGGGGTGCAGAGGGTGGAGGGATTGTGTAACTCTGTTACATAACACAATATGCACAGCCTTCTCTCCGTCTCCGGTCCTCCTCTCTCTCTCTCTCTCTCCCTCTCAGCACCTCCAATAGAGAGAGACATGGCAGAACAAGCAGGAGGGAGAGCATGAAGGGTTTAAAAGGGTGCTGGTGTTAATGAGGGCGATGTGAAGAGATGTGCGCCTCGCTGGAAAATCATACTTCATTACGGCGCTGTTTCTAATAATGCCAGTGATGAGGAGAAGTTGTTTGGGAGGTGAGGGGACGAGGAGCGCAGACCCCCGGCTTGTCTTAGATTAAAACTCGGCCATCAAGTGGCATTCAAGTGGGTTTGCTGGGTAATTAAAGTCGATAAAATGTTATTGCTTTCACCCTCGGCCCACCTTTGGATGGCTGGGGTTGAACTGACAGGCATTTGCCAGGCTTTTTGGATGAGGACAGCTCACCAGTGGGAATCAACCTTGACACCTTAATTGCAGATTGCATGCATTACTTTGCTGATTATGAAACAAAGCAAATTTACAACATCATTTACTACTTTTCAGGCTGCTTTGCACCCAGTTTATAGCTCCCAGTACTTTTAAATTTAGTGCATAATTTATCAAATAAAACTTTTCTAGTCAGTTTTGTTTTGTTTTGTTTAGAAAGGAAGCTGGCAATTCTATTCAACATGTTTGATTCCTGCAACGTGACCTCATTTTATCGTAACAAATTTCATTCAGACTTCTTGGTCATGCAGTCCAGAATAAACAAGTTTGTATGAGAAGACTGAAAAACACTCAGTGTTGCAAAGTTTTATTTTCTTGAAGAATAATCTAATACAAAATGACAAAAGAGCCAGGAAAGTTTCAGTTTCTTTCACACTCTTAAAGTATATTACAAAGTACAGCACAGTCAACATTTCCACTGAAGCTTCTACTTGTTTTTTCAAACAACTTTCACTTCATGAATAGTTTACTTTCACACAGAACGTCTCCTCCGTCTTCTCCTCCAGGTTGTTCACGTAGACCAGGATGTCCACTGATCCGGGACTCTGGCTCGTGGCAAACCGCAGTCCGATGGTGTAACTCTCTCCCCCTCCAATCTGAACATAGTAAAAATAACACATAATTTTATTTAGATCTTTATCTTTTTTTTCTTATTAAAGCTGACCTGTCTGCCCATTCACACGTTTAATAATAAATCAATCATTTTTGTTTTGAACTACATTGTTCACAAAGATCTGCCCCAAGATAAAAACCCCGAATAAATGGCAGTCACTGAGACTGATTTGGCAGCACGGTGTCTCAGTGGTTAGCACTGTTGCCTCACAGCAACTAACATGGCTTCCTGTGCTTGCTCTGGTTTCTCCCACGATCAAAAACATGCTGTTAATTCCATCGGTGTGCCCTGGACCATGGCTCTGGGTTTAACTAGCCGCTGGTCCCCAGGTGCTACGCTGTGGCCGCCTGCTGCTCCTAATGCTTAGGATGGGTTAAATGACTTTCCTGACAGGGATCAATAACACTGTCTGATGTTACCTGTTAACATTATTAGAGCTGTAAACCAGTTATAGCTGTGATTCCCTTTTTCTAGACTAGATCATTTACACTAGATTAACCATATATACTTCACTGTGCTCATGTAGCCACGGTGACAGAGCCAGACTTCTGAATGAAAACCCCCACTCATACTTCTGAGATGAAGACAATGCCTCAGAGTGAAAAAATACGTATCCTACAACACATTTAAAAAACTGAAACCAATATATACCAAAGGTGACATATCACAATACAATATTATCACAATACTTCACTCACAATACAATATTATTGCAATATACTGCAATAATATATATTGTGAGTTACTGATAGTACAACAAATAGTTGTAAGAAATTGTTGAAAATCACATATCTGTTGCTGTCTACATAGACAGAAATTCACATTTAACATAATTCTATTTACTTATTACGTCAGCAACCGTTCTGTATGAATATAACCAAGATTATTACCAGCTGGCAGCCAGTTGAAATGAATCCCCTCAATTCAGACTGATGGCAACATGTTTGGAAACCTGAGCATTTATAAATGAGACGGCAATTATTTGCAAACCTTCAACAATCTCTCTGAGAGTGACTGCAGCCAGCCCAGGTCAGACTGCCACTGTTTGCAGAAAGATCACCTCCTATCAGGTGACCCAGGTATCGCCTTGTGATTAATCTTAGGCTCTAGGCAACATTTAGACACCAGTAGTTGTTCAGCTGTTTTTTATGTTTTAACTTCTTTATTACAGTTTATTTGGTATCTGTGTATCAATACAACGTTGCAATGCACAATATTGTGATACTGTTCTGTATTGATTGTTCCCTTACCTCCTAAGATATACAGAGAACCTACTTAACAAATTAAATACAACTGCCATGCAAAAATAGTGAGCTCTGGTTCTTTCACATGGAAATATGCATCTAAGTGTTTAATCGCATGTTTTGTGACTACGGTGACCTCATTTCAGTATCCAATTAGTTTCCTTCTTCCATGCAGTAATTAGACAATAAACAGAGTGTATTTCAGTTAGATTTGAAGGTATTTTACTGATCTGACTCAAAAATGAAAACATTTCTCAGGACAAAAATGACCCATATATGGAGCAAATGGTTATCCACACTGTTTTAATGCTTACCATCGCTGTGGGCATCTCCTTTTCAGGCATGTCTAAAACACAATTATTAAATGAGGAAGCACCAGTTGTTCTAACCTCCTGACTGCCTCTGTGGAAAGTCTAGTATTAGAATTTTTTATTTGTATGTTGTGATTGTTTTTCTGTTCAGGCATCACAGTGAGGTAGATCTTTAACAGGTGTTTTTTTTGTTACTTTCTCACTACTGTAGATTGACCAGAAATATTTCCTTCTACTCTCTGTAATAGCCAACAACAGAAATATGGGTCAATTTAAGGGATTTATGCTGTAATCTTTCCCACAAGCATGGCAGTATTGATCTCTGCTTCGCCTTTCCTCCTGACAGCTGGTTTTATCACGGTGAGGTAGTTATGTCAAAAAAGAGAAAAGTGTCTCCACATTTGCCTAATGCCACAGGCATGGTAAATTCTTTATAAGACACCTGGAGCTTCACTGACAAGATGGAAAAAACAATGGGCTGTTTTTCACTTGGCTCACCCTCCCTGTCTAATTGATGCAGTGTCTTCTGGCCAACAACAATGAGACTCTTTAATAGTTTATGTGAAAACAGGCTCCCCTCGCCTCTCATTCATTTATTTCTTAATTTAAAATGATAGTTTCTCATTTGTTTTAGCATTTTATCACACCTCACTAAATTAAAGGCAATGACAGCAGTGTTTCATGTCTGAATGTGAGCAAATCAGCTTTTAGAGACACTGAGGCTGACCGCACAATAATAAAACAGCAGCACTAATGACTTTGTAATATTCTTTGCATTCAGTTCTGAAACCCGACAAGAAAGCCATTTACGGAGGAATGAGCAGTCAACATAAAAGACTAGAAATTATTGATGTCTTGTACTCACCTGTCAGGATGACAAGAAAGTCAACAGTATTGCTTTGTATATTCACGACTCATACACTCATATTTTCTACAATAAGCCTTTTGGTCAAAACAGTAGCGTTGTTATGCCATAACCCATTTATGATTTTGACTGGGAGGGCATGAAAGCTGATGACAGGGCCTGATACCAGAAGAAACTTGGGGAAAAAGATCCAGTACAATAATATCTAACCGCTTGCCTCCTACACGGCAGCTCCATCATATCGGTTGTAGATGAAATCTCCATCAGAATGTCAGAAGACTTAACTGCTTAGACACACAGGAAGCACTTTAGCCTAGTTTTTTTCTAAAATCTGTCAAAAAGAGTTTCGTTTTAGTCAAAGTGTGTCAGATTATACGTGGTCAGTAGCACCGCTGGTTAAAGCTAATGTTATTGACATCAGTTACACCATCATAGCAACATATGTACCATTACTCCGTGAAACAAAACTATCTGAGCAGCTTTTGTTAAGGAGGAGGGTTCTTTCCTTCTAGTCACTAATTAAAGTATTGATTTTACTCTTAATGGGGGTAAGAGAAGTGGATGGCCTCCAGTCTCATTTTACCTGGAATTTATCCTCTTTGAACTGGAGCAGATCTGGATGGTCAGAGCGAAGCAGGAATGTACGGCTGCTGGTGTACGGATTGGTGTAGGTGATTTTTCTGGAACTGCCACGTCCACCGCCAACTGGAACGCATACTTCAAAAGCCTGCAAATACACACACACACACACACACACACACACACACACACACACACACACACACACACACACACACACACGTGTTATAGCATCAAACCTTCTTTGGCACAGAGGAATGAGGGAGGGATTGAAATGTCTGAAAACAAGAGCTGAGAAAACTGCAGGATTCATCCAAGTGCACCAGATGATTTGATGAAGTATCCAACAAAAGGAAGCCCATGGCTGCCTACAGTGAAACTGCAAGAGTAAATGAACTTGAACAGTTTGTATGTGTGATCTGAATGTGATTTGATACTTCAAAGTAATGGTACAAAGCTGGCAGGATAAGCTGGCTGCCTGTGAACTGGTGTAATGAGCATTTGTACAGCGGCCACAGTGGATGGATCCGCATGTTTCATTTGGCACAGATTTTACACCTGGTGCTTCCCTCACTTTTATCCAGTCTTGGTACTGGCACTAAGAGTACGCTAGCCTATGACCCCTTAAAGCTGGGTTTGTGTTCCTGCCAATCTCAAACCAGGGATCTTTTGCATTTAATGCAAATGTGTTAACCACTACACTACCACTACCACTAATGAGCATCTGTAAAGGGATGTCCACTGAAAGAAATACTTTCCTACAGTGGTTGGCATACACCTGACAGCAAGAAGATCATGGATTTGAATTCAACAACTGTCTGGTGGCTTTCTATGCCGAATTTTCATGTTTTATCCGTGCCTACATGGGTCCTCTCCATGTACCCCAGCTTCCACCCACAGGTCATGCTCATTAGCTTAACTGTCAATTCTAAATTGGCTATAAGTGTAAACGTGAGTCTGTCTCTCTGTGTTAGCCCTGCAATAGACTGGCAACCAGTCCAGGTTGTGCCTTGCCTCTCACTCTTTGACAGCTGGGAATCCAACCTAGATAGGTCACCACACAGGGAAGACATACAGCCATCCTATGGCCAAGACTGGCTTCAGATGCTTATTTCATGGTTTTAAAGTAATGTTTGGCAATCCCTGACTTAAAGCAAGATAACTTTATGTAATGTGAGATGATAAATAACCACTGCAATACCCTTTAAGCATTACATTTTCTTTGTTTTGTTGTCAGAGAAAATGTGATTGTTGTCAATCACTTGATTGTTTAGCATTTTAGGAGAAGTGGATATTTGATCAACTTAAATTGATTTCATTTGATTAAATGTATATTTCTGCTGTGTAGTGCATAAGAAATATGTTCTGTACACAACAGGCAAAAGAAGAATTTAGTACTTTACCTATAATGCATAAAGCATAATCCAGTCAGCCAGTTAGGTACACAGTCAATTGATTAGACATTTGATTGAGAAAGGCAGAGAAGAGCATTATTAAAGACAATTGGATCTAAGCACTGGTCTGCTGCTCTTTATAAAGGGATTGGGAATGTTGAGCTGGCCTTGGGAAGTACGCGGATGATTCAAGTATTGAATCTGTTACAAATACAAGTACTATAAAAATGAAATCATGATGTCAAATCTTCTGTCTTCTTCTTAAATATTTTTTTTATTTCATACACTGATATCCTTCAAACGCATGTCCAGAATCCTTCAAAGCCAAAGCCAGTTTGTTGGTAGATTGTGGTGTGTTAGGTTAGTAATGGTTACCCCTGCTGGAAAGCTGCAGATGATAGCTGGTAATCTTCTTTCTGCACAGGCAGTATTACTCCCAGTGTTATGTAAAATTGGGGGTTCCCTTTTAAATCACTAGAGCTTCACAAAGTGATGATAAAATGAGAGGCAACCATAATGCAGTTTATTAACACAACACTGTTGCATAAGGAACACATTTGAAAGGCAAATTTAGGTCATTGACTAAATGTGCACAGTGCTTACAATGCTAATGTTACGAGTACAGAGCGGAGAGTCCAAAGAGTTGGAAAATCCCAAATCCCAAAAAGGTTGATAATGAAATATACTCTACAACACTGGTGAGACAAAACTAGGGGGCACAAACACTTTTATTGTATTGATATTGTGGTAGATTATTGCCGTACAAGTTACCAAGCTAGGCAGCTAGCTGCTTGGTAGACACTGTCCTGCTTTTCGAAAAAGATGAATGACTGAGCTCCTGTAGGTGCCTGGGAAGGGTTAGCATGTTACCTTTAAGCAGAATCAAGCTTCTAGCTTTAGCTAGTGCTTTTTTCAGAGAAATGCATTTTGTTATTTAACCAACAGCAGTGCAAAAATGATTAAAACATTGTCCTTTAATGACTGGGAGGGGGAGCGCTCAAGTTCAAGGGAGACCTTTAATTAACACATCAACCACATTTGCAGCAGAGCGGTGTGATGAGCAGGTCTGCAAATCTGACGCTTTCGTGCTGTAGTGTTTGGCTTTCAAACAGACACCTGGAACTGTATTTAACACACTGTTCTGCTGCTGCTGCTGCTGCTGACACAGTGAAGAAAAGGGTAAAAACCCGGGTTGCCAAATGTGCCCCACTGGATAATGATGGCCACTCTGTCAGAAGGGCAACACAAAGGCCGATACCCATATGAGGAAACGATAAAAACACAAGATTTTTTTAGGGTCCTACCTTGGACAGCACAGGACGGTGAACATTGAGACAGAGCAGCCACGCGGTGACCAGCCGCTGCTGCTCCACATCTACCGCGTTCACGTACAGAAAGCGGCTGCCAGCCTGCCATGGCTGCACCTTCAGCTGGAGCTCCTGCACTGCTGCAGGAGGCAAAACAAACACACCCGCTGGGTCCACCTAAAAAGAAGGCAAAGGCCATTAAAGTTTATTGGGTTTGGCAAGTGGACTGAGAAATGTGTCGACCAAGTGACAAAAAGAATGTGACAGTGTTCAAAGAGAAGAGATACATTTAATAAGAAATGGAAGAGGGACAGAATTAATGGAAAAGATGCTTAACAGAGTCAGAGGAAGGTAAAGGAAGTGTGCAGATTAAAGGAGAGTGGGTGAGAGAAAGGGTGAATGAGGTTCAATAAAAAAAGGGGGGAGGCAGACAATGAAATGAGAGAAGTAGAGGCAGGAAAGTGACAGAAATAAGAATGTGGGAATGAGATTTACTGTGCAGCTCCTTTTCAATCTGTTGAGAAAAGCAAAGCTATTCACTGACGCTGAGCTTTATCCTGCTTTATAGAACTCCTCCAATGCATTCCACTGTGAGCTAACCTGCCGCGAGTCAGATCAAAGCAGCTGCTCATGCGTACGCCGAAATCTTTAAAAAATACATCTGTCGCTTTTTCAGCCAGTACCCTATTTCTAAAGGTAAAACATGTTTGGGTCATACTGTATGCACCCGTGGTGGTTGTGACAGTCTATCACTTCTCTTTTTTTCTCCATGAATGCTTATAAAATGCCCTTTTATTCCAACTCTGAGGAAGAAGTATTGTCATGCTCCCTCTACTCTTGTACTCAGTTATGAATAAGAAACAATCTATTAAAAATAGAGGGCAATGTGACACTCCTGGAGCATATTTTCACATGTTCAGAGTGCATAAAAGCCACTGCTAATTTTTTTCAAATTGTATCAAACTGGGTCCCGACATGATCTGGCATGAAGACAGGAAGTAACGAGGGAACCTAATAAAATGAAATGAAACCCCATAAAAAGACCTATTATGCTGTCAATCTGCATTTGCATGTTCTTGACAATGATTCAAATCTTAAACTGGAGGTATTATAAGGGAAGGAATTGCTTCCATTTTTTTTCCTTTTGCTGCTAAGAGAACAATTTGCATTAAATCACTTTAGATGAGCAACTTCAAAATTGCTCACGATAAAAAGATAATTTGTCAAGAATAAATCCCTCAACATTTTTTTTAGATAAGTGAGATTTATGCATTTTTTTTGTCCTGTATGTTGAGTGTCGTCTGCATCAGTCGGATTTTGTCCAATTGAAAAAGAACACAATACAGCAAAAGCCTAATTTTAGTTCGAACATGCCACTTTCACATATAAAAAATGCATCCAGACCCAAGCACCCTTGATGACTAAGATGCTGCTCCAGTCTCTGAACCACAAGCTAATGTTAAGTGGCGGGGGAAACAGAGAGTGACAGGACAGGGAATGTGTACGGGTGGTAGAGAGGGTGTAACGCATAGTTCATCACCTCAGACTACTACTGCTGGTTGCATGCTCTTGATCTCTTTTCAACTTGACTCAAAACAAGAATTATATATTCAGCTGAAGTGCTATGAACGCTGGATTAAATAACTAGATTCCTGGGACTCATAAAGAATTGAACGGAGCTCTCCACTAGAGGTCTTCGTGGGTCTAAAACCAAAACCGGACCGATGGAACTAAATGAGCCCAATGTGCAAAAATTAATTTTAAACATTAAGTGCAACAGGATCCTAAAGGGACCCACATAAAGCCAAAGGGAAGCAAGACCTCATCCAAAATCCAGTTGACTAACAGAGAGTCAGAACAACATCAGCAGGAGCACGATGCTCCAGCACTTAAAGGGCAGCTGTCATCCAAAAAAGCAAAAATACATGTTATTTTTCTTTCACTTCACACATCTGCCACAAAGCAACAATTTTCTACTGCAATGGTTGTGATGCACACAAGATCTGAGCTACAGAAGAGGGTCAGTTTGGCTATGTCTATTAGACAAGTGGATCCAAGTGGCACAAAGCAGCTTTACCGACCTGCTTTTTTTTTTTTTTTTAAATGTGTTGTTACTACATTATTTTTTTTGTAACGGACAGCCAATCAGAAGAAAGGCGACTTAAACTAAAGGGGATGGGAGCTAAAACAGCTTGTTTCAGAGAGAAAATGAACACAGGGGTTGCACCAAGGCCAGGTATAGAGTAAATACAAAGTCTTTTGAGGAGTGAATCATTCAAAGGTGCTTTAGTAGAATCTAAGAATAAAAATATGCAGTGTGAAATGAGCATAAAAAGCCCACTTTAAAACATTTTTCTTCACTTTTTTTTTTTTTTTTAAATCTCAGGTTAATAAAATAATGACTTCACTAGAAGACATGTGAGTTGATTTTAGTTTTGATGAATCTTTAAATCTTGATAGAGGCCTGAATCCCACGCTGCAGAGAACATGTGCACATTGTTTACTATTTCAAAATAGTGCGTTTAGTGACAATCGTACCTGAATCTCGCCGGGGTGTGATGAGAAACACTTGACCTTACGGATAGCCTGCGTTCCCCTCAGAACGAGTGACTGACAGCTCCGCTGGCCAGTCACACAGCTGACGTCCACACGCTCCAGGAAGTGCACGTAAATCTGCCAGATCTGGGAGGGCGCTGCCATCCACTTATCACTACAGAGGAAAAACATCATCAAGAACAATTAAACTAAGGCCCCCTGGAGATGCAGCCGGTGCAGCACGGGGTAAGAGATGAGGAGGGCTGATCTACGGCTGTGCTAGCATTTTAATAAGCAGAGCCATCAACATCATCCTCACACTGCTGAGATGAAAGGAATTCAGTCTCAGTGGCCCTAGCTGACTCAGAGTGGGAGGCGATGCAGTCACCTACTCAGGTCTGCTCTGAGACAACAGCTCTCATAAAGCGTTTGTGGTTATTTGGAATAGGATTCAAGTGATATGGGGTTTTGAGGGCAAACACGTCATCTGGAGGGTTGAAGCTAAAATATTTTCACAGTGATATCGTCAGATATTTTTTTTAAATGTTAGAAATCAAATCCAGATCAAATTCACAAATGTATTTGTGTGTAATTTGCTGGTAATCGGGTTGGCTGCTCGACACTTGGGTGAAAAATTAAAGAATGCTCAACCACTAATGCAAGGGGGCCAAATGACTGTGTTACAGCACTTGGGACTGGTTTATACTGCAGTATTAGAGGACAGTATTAGACATGAAATGAAGAAGCAATGTGTCTTCTGCAATATATTTTATTAGTAAAATAAATTAGCTATACAGTATGTGCTCTTCTTGATGGAAGCACGTTGTAATATAAAGATTCTAAACCACAGATGTCAAACTAATCTTACATCGAGGGCCACACACGGCCTACTTTGATCTTAAGTGGGCCGGACGAATGAGCCTTTGTGTCAGCAAAAAGACGTTTAACTACACATTTAATCCCTGAGATATCTTATCATAAGACAACAAAGTGCAGGTTCTGGTAGCTAATGTTTTCTCAATGAACCAAAAATATAATGTTTCATTTCTGCCATTTAATTGTTTATACTGTATATTACTTTATGCACGGCTGAAAGGGTTGTCTTTATCAGCTGGAAAAATTTTCCAAAGCTGTCCAGAGGATCAGATTGGAGTCTTTGCTGAGCCAATTCTGGCCCCTGGTCCTTATGTTTGACACTCCTGTTCTAAACATAACCATTAGTACCATTAGTAGTGCTATGCACATATCTGTGGTTAGGATTGTATATTGTGTGAAAGAGTGCATGTGAATGAGCATATGCATGATGCAATCCATCATTTCCACTAAGTGACAGAGGAAAATGAGGAAAACAATGAAATCATGTGAAACGAGGCAAAATGCTTTTATATTCATGTCCTCAGAGTTAAACGACAGCTCTCTGATATTTAATAGAAAACAAGTATTTGTATATCACATTAAAAACAAGGTGTGCATAATCCTGATGGAGATTAGGCAAACTGGACGATGGACTGTGGAACTGCAGGCAGCCAGAGCATGAAACCTCAGTCTGATTAGTTAATTGATTCAAGCCTGCATGAACAATTTAATTATTGCAAAGATGAATGCTTCTTCAGGCTAAGCTCTGTGCGTGTGTGTGTGTGTCTGGCCAGTAAATAATACATACGTGAAAACCATTACAAAGAACATTTTTATGTGTGGACTGGGACTCCCTGGCACTTTCAAGTACACATCTTGAGGCTCTCCTGGTGCCTACAGATAGAAACAGATAAAAGGTGGAAGAGTAGAGGGGAAAAAAAGGCAAAAATAAAAAAGACCCCACATTGGCACTACAATAGTGTAAAGGCACGACACAAGGGCAAGCCTTTTCTTCTATCAAAAGAGCTTGTAATCTATCAAAAATGAGCTAGAGTTCTGTCCTGATTACGTTTTGTAAAAAAGAGACAAACATGTCAGAAGGAAGCTCAAAGAATTACACTTTATGTTGAATCCAATCCTTCAAACAGAACTGGCTGATGATGGTTTTGTGACATTTTGAGATGAGATGATGAGATGAGATAGCCTTTATCCTCACACTGTCAGTATGCAGTAGCTTGATTTGTTGAAGTCTCTGAGATAATGATGCAGACATATGTTTGCCTTTGACCTGCTTATTTTCCAATGTGTAAATGTTAGATTGTATACCTATAGGATACTTACCTTGTAGTGTCCTGTGTTAGCACTTAACTATATTTACCTGAGGATTACATGACAACCTAATAAGAGGTTGTTGTTGTTTGTGTGTGTCTTTATGGTTTCACTCCAATTCAGTGATGTCAGTTTGATGTGATTGCTATGAATGAAGCCATTAAAGGAGCAAGCACGCTCACTTTAATGGCTCTTGAAAAGAAGTTTGGCTGGCTGTTTATCTATGGTCACACTCAGGGAGGACAACACACAAAGAGACCAGTGCAGCTAGAATAAAGTGCTTTCCCTTCCAAACAGTTATCAGTTCAGTAATTAACCCTGTTAATATTTGTATGTTAATTGCAGAAGGAATTAAATCCAATGTCATTCACTCACCAGCATCCTTGTTTGGCAGATGATATTAGGGTCACTGCAGCGGACAGAAACATGAGCATCTGGGTTGATAGCTGGTTTTCCCAACAAGAGGCAGGAAAAAACAAATATAAGATCAATTTACTATTTACTATAAATTGTTTTTATTATAGTTCAGAACATCAAGCCAGTCATAAAAGCCAATCAAACATTTTCTTGATTTTAAACTTTCATTTCTTGTTTTTCATTTCCTGCTCTGCATCCAGATACTTCTCTCTTCTTATTACCCTTTTTGTTGACAGAAACTGCACTGATATTGAAAAGTTGTTTCTGTTGATATTTAGTAAAAACATAATAAAGTGAAGGCAGAATACATTACTCATTCCCATTTCCCACATAAGCTGTCAAAATTGTTTTCGCCTTGTGCGTGTGAACATGTGATTCACATTTATGCTCACACAGGAGAGTAAGTCAGTATGAGAACTGAAGGTATATTTTAATCTTCATTTGATATATTGATTAAAACTGGAATATATGCAAACGACTAATTTCAGCACAGTTCAGAAAGCAAGAAATATGAGCTGAAGGACGAGGAATACTTGGCTCATGGGGGATAGCCAGGGTAATCTGTACAACCTGCAGGGTCGTGCCAGACTGGCAGGCGGATGGCCTTTTTAAGGAAACAGAGCTCGGGGTGGTAAAGTCGGAAAGTCTGGTCAACGACATGGGGCGTTGGCTCCACATTCACTTGGCAGATGGCCATTGGCTTTCCATCTTCTGCTTTGAAAGTAACCTGTGGAGATAAAGTGAAAATTCAGCATTATTAGCAGCATGTCACTTCCTCACCTGATAGTCTGATATTCAGTGCATTAAAACAGGTTTTGCATCATAAGGTAGTTTAAGATTCATTAGAAGCTTCAAGTTACTACCTCGCATTGCAAATACATTACATGTAAGTTGTGCAGTTTGACCAGAGGGGTTTCTGGAAATTTAAAGAAGGTATCCAGTACTGGAAACAAAAAAAACTACACGTAGAAAAACTTTGGTAAAACAAATCTGTGTAGCAGGAATACATATCTTTCATCTATCGTGTTCTAGTGTTTAGAGGTAAATCTAAAAGTAAACAACTGAAGTTTTGGAAAGTTCACTAGTAGTTGTGTAAGTCAAAGTTAACCAGGCTACAGCAAATACTTTCAACATAATCATTTTCTCTTCCAAACAAGATTAGTTAAATAGACTGATTTAAAACCTCTAGGGCTCCTGCGCTGCCAGATTTCTTACTGGAATTAATAGGCAGGTCGTGTATACTAGGTAGTAACAGCACAAACTGGTTTCATTAGTTCAACAGGGCTTTTTCCTCCTGATTTCTCTCTGTGTGCCATGTTTTCTTCCTGAAGCAGTTCATTTCTAAACAACATATACAGGCTTTTTAAAAACAGCCTTGGGGAAACTTTATATTAAAATTCACCAGAGAGTATTATGATGATGGAGAAAGCTGTACACTAGAATATAAAAGTTGCTTGCAATCTGACTGCTGAAACCCCCACAGACTGACTGAATGTGCTTTGAAGATTGCTGCATTAACATAGCCCCCAGGAGTTGTTTGAATCAACACAAATGTGTTCATACACATGTAGTCATTCTGCACGGTTATATATGATAACTGGCACATACATCAGAGCGGCATATGAAAACACACTGGAATTGCTCATTCCTGCTCACAAAGCGTCATATTTTAGGAAAACTAGTGTGTGCTGCTGTGACTTCACTGTCGGAGACAGTTTCTGCTACAGCTGCCGGACCACAAACTGTAGGTCTGATAATCCAACCATCTATTCTCTTAACCACTTATCCAATTCAGAGACAGTGGAGTCATATGACAAGAGGAGGGTACAGTCTTTGTATTTGTCACACTTAAGTGTTTCATATCATCAAACAATAATATCAGACAAAGATAACCTGAATAAATGCAAAATTCAGTTTTAAAGGATGATGTCATTTATTAAGAGAAAAAAAGTTATCCAACCCTACCTGGCCCTTTGTGAAAAGGTAATTACCCATAAACCTAATAAGTGGTTCTTGGCAGGAAGAACTGCAATCGAACATTTATGATAACCGGTAATGAGTCTTTCACATCTCTGTGGAGGAATTTTGGCCCAACTCTTCTTTGCAGAATTGTTTTAATTCAGCCACGTTGAAGGATTTTCAAGCATGAACAGCCTGTTTAAGAACATTCAAAAACACTTCAATCTGATTTTAATCAGGACTACGCCACTTAAAAACCTTCATTTTAGTTTTTTAGGTCCAATCAGAGGTGGACTTGTATACTTGAGCTGCAGGGCATGAACAGAGAGCAGAGAGCAAAATTCATGGTTCCATCAATTACAACAAGGCGTCCTGAAGCAGCAAAGCAGGTCCAGCCCATCACACTACCACCACCATGTTTGACTGTTGGTATGGCATTTCTTTTGTGCTCTTTTTATGAAATTCTGTGTTAGTTTTTTGCCAGATGTAATGATGTGCAAACCTTCCAAAAGTTCATCTTTTGTCTGATTACTCTATTAGTTCCCAAAAGTCTTGGAGATCATCAAGATTTTCTTTTCGGTCAGCAGTTTTCACCTTTAACTCTTCCATGGAAGCCATTTTTGCACAGTCTCTTTCTTATTGTTGAATCATGAACTCTATCTTAACTGAGAAAAATGAGGTCTACTGCTCTTTAGATGTTGTTCTTGGTTATTTTGTGACCTCCTGGATGAGCTGTAGATGAGCTCTTGAGGCAAAGGAAGATTTACCACTGCTCTGAGTTACAGTATCTCTATCTGTGGCTAATGGCTCTCACCGTGGATCACCGGAGTCCCATAATGTCTGTCATTGACATCTATCAGATCTATCAGTCTATCTGATAGATCTGATAGATTTGTCGACTTTGTTGCAAAGATTTCCATTTCTGAAAGGTTATAAACCATCCTGATATTTTTAGCCAACCTCTACCACAAAATAAGGTCAGTTGATTGAAAGAACTTGAATAGCACAAGCCAAATATTTTGATCAATAACTGTTAAGTGATTACTGAATTCAGTCACAATAATGTGTTACATTCTAATGCATCACCCCAGGTAACAACTAAAAACTTTTAAAAAAATGGTTTCTGTCCCACCTCCTGCATTCCCACCTGCTGTGCTAGAATTAAAAAAAAGATTACAAAATAAATAAATAAATAAAGGAACACTACAGCAACTGATTAAAACAGACTCAAATTTCAGCCACGAGGAATGCCCTACACTCTGAAGTTAACTTCCCACAATCTGGTCATTAAACACACAGCAGCTGTCCAAATCGTTGATGCGTCAGATTTGCAGGCTAATGCTGACCTACAAGAGCGGCCCATATCTGGCTCTGGTGATGTGTGCTGACTGACAGCCGTGCCAAAGCTGGCATCCTGACAGCGCTGCTGTTGGGACTTGTCAGTTTTAGCGGGACACAGATTTGATCCAGACCCGACCTCTTTGACCTCCTGACAGGATTTTTGCTCAGAGCAGCAGTGCTGACACCGGCACACAATACGCACAAACTGCAGGCAGACACACACACGCACGCTTGGCAGACTGGCAAATATTTCATCAGCTTGTGCAATGTGAGAGCTTCTGGGTACTGTACTCTACACCAACAACAGGATTATTGTAAGGTCCTGCAGGTTAGCGAGAGGTGATGAATATATTGTTTTTCAGCACATTCAGGCTACATTCCAATAACGTGAGATTTAAGCTCCAGTATTTAACAAGAAGCCTTAAGTTTCGTTTTAATGAATTCCATAAGAAACAGCATTTAATTTTAGTGACAACTGCAGCACAAAGAATATTCTTTCACGTGGTGATGTGGAGGACTTATCTATAGTACAGCCCAACAAGCCTGTTCACAGTGTTTCTCCCTCCTCTAACCGTCTTACATATTATAAACAGCTGAATAAGTTCTTAATACTGTCAAATAACTTCAGAGTAATACTGTATATGCATGGTTCATTTAAAGTAGATTAACCAGACGTGTCAAGCTGTCGTCTAGCCTGGGATAGTTTAACTCTCCACCCTGACATTTGCCAGTTGGAGAAGATAAACAATGTTCAGTAAGATAAAAGTGATTTTCAGCATATAATTTTGCTTGACAATCTTGTCTGGCTAGCGTAACTTTTTTAATAGTCGACACTTCAAAGTGTTCTTTGGGTCTGTGCTGTGACTGTGCAGGAAAGAATAGGAGAGGAGAGGAGGGAGGAGGCGGTGCACTGCCACTCCTCAGAGAGTTGTCTGGGAGTGCGGGTACAGTGGATGTTGTTAGACTTTGGGATCTAGCAGGAGGTTAACCCAACTAAACTGCAATCACAAGTAGAGATGGCACGATACCACTTTTTTTATGTCCAATACCAATACCATAAATTTGGATATCGGCCGATACCGATATAAATCCGATATAGTGTGTTTTTTAATTAAAACTGTTTTTTTAATATCTTGCTGCATTTTGTATAAGTTCAAATTCCAGTTTAACAAAACAAACAAACACTAAAGCTATTCTGTTATACCTGTATGCAAAAAATACACTGCACCCAAAATATTTCATACTTCAGCAATACTGATCAATCTAATAAACTTAAACCTACTCCATCATCCCTATTCTGGTATTTTAAAGAGTAAGCAACCTAAATTAATATGGTTGCAAACTCCCAGCAAAAAAATAAAATAAAATAAGGAACCACCCCCCACCCTCCACCTCATGATGCTTAATCGACGTAATCAACTTTAATTTGATGCAGTGTGAAAAGAAAAATGCACAGAAATAAATTATTTTTCAAGAATACTTAAATAGATTCAACATCTTTCTTCAACAGAACTGCAGACTGCACACATGGTACCTTCCCAAAGGCAAAAGTACTAGCTTACTAGGGTATATTAGACTTAATAGTTACTATATACAGTAATGGACTTCTATACTTTTTACATCAGATTAAAACTTTGGGTGTAAGGTTCAGATAATTCATTATTAAAAACTAGACATTTTAAATGAGAATAAGAAAAAAAAGTATGTCTTTGTGCCCCCTTTTCCCTGCTCATGCCCTATCGGCCCCCCCTGGCTAAACTTTGCTAGATCCGCCCCTGCACAGTTACCAGCCATCAGCTAAGTAGAAAAAGATCGTGGTGTACAAAGTAATATTAAATAAATTCTAACAACAGATTATCAATCTTAAACGTGCTGCTGTTGGTCAGCCGCTGGTTTCCTCTTTCTGGCGCGAAGTGGGCGATAAACAAACAAGAGAGACGGACTGACAGAAAAGCCGATCAGCTGATCATTAATCAGTTTCACGATTGAAGTAGCAGCAGGAGAGGGAGGGAGAGAGAAGAGGCAGTCGCTCCATATATCGGTTGGCAAGCTTAACGCTGGAATGCTTCACAAACATTTAGAGATTACACACTTGCTTTACTTCTCTCTGGGATAACTTTGGGATGAAATGCCAGTTTGGTAGCGAGGCACCAAATGCTGAACCAGACAACAGATCTCGCATGCCACCGCCGCCCTATCACGTGACGCACAGTGCTCGGTTATGAGCCGAGTTACGCCATGTCGCAAGTTTTGTGAGCTGCTTTTTTGATATTTAATGGATCGGATTACATTTTTTATTTCTCTCCGATATCCGATCCAGTAATTTAGGTCAGTATCGGACCGATACCGATACTTAATATCGGATCGGTACATCTCTAATCACAAGCTTTATAATATGTGTCGCGTTTAAGGCACTTTCATCTTTCTCAGCTCACCTGAATCAAATGATCAGTTTATATAGCCAAATATGGGAAAAAGTGTAGATCTCAGTTCTAAAGCTTGCGTTACGGCAGAGAAACATTTACATTAAAGTGCAAAGTGAAGAGCAGATGCACTCTGCACTTTAAATTCAGCCTGAAGAAAAACAAATCAGGGACTGAGAGGCAAAAGACTTCAGATATATAATATAAAAATGGTTTAAAGCATAAGTAACACATTCTGTACCTTGATAGTTTTGGCAGCAATAATATTGGACAGATTCTTCTTGGCCACCTGGGAACCTCTGGCTGTAGCCTTCAGGCTTGGTCCCTGTGAGGATTTGATAAGAAGCCCACATTTGTTATCAAAAATGAACATCTACCCCAAAAAAAACATAGCAAAAGAGCACAAAGAAAAATTGCATTTGCACATCCAGTAAGAAAACTGTATACAATCACGATAAGCAGAATATAACCAAAGGGTTTAAAAACTACCTTCATCTAGAAGAAGATAAGAGCGCAGCCAATCTAAATGACATTTATTTTGAACTGTACTTCTGGCATCAAATTAACTACAAAGACTGGGTTGGTTTTATGTGTGTAAAACGTGCCCTTGAAATAGGTCGGCTTTGGTTACAGAAACCTTGAGGTGTACTGACATTTATGCGACTGTTACATAAACTTTCATCATGCTCCACCTCTTACTCCCATTTTTTTTAAATGACATAAGATCAGTATATGAAAGAAGATTTTTTTATAGGTTCACACAAGTTACTTTGATCGTTCATCTGTAGTGATAAAAAATGTGGTGACTGCTTCTTACTGTAAGACAAATCTAAACATTTAAAGGACTCAAGAAAAACAACTGATTAAAAAAAATATATCTAATTTTGTCTAACATCCTGCAGCCAGAAATAGTTACCAATCCAAGAATGTGGTTTTTCCTTACAGAGCAAGTTCACACTTTATAAAACATGCTGTGAGAGTGCACCTTTATTCTGCACCATACCTGAAGGGCCATGGTGTGGTCGCAGAGGAAGCTTTGGTATTTCAGGGGCACGTGGAGGCTCTCTTTGGGCCGGAGGTAAACCCTAGGACCTGGAGCACCCTGCTCCGAGTGGAACATGTTTTCCTCCAGCGGGGTAGAAGTTCTGGTTAGCGCTTTGAAGTAACGCCACTCCTCAGTGTTTGTGATGACACTGGATGAAAAGATTAAAGGCCACAATTGAGATGAAAGGAGGCTCTTACATATTTTTAAAGAGATCTATCAGGGGATCAGAGCTGGACTTGTTACGTGGACAAGATCCCTCATTGCAGAATACTACAGCGTTTATTACAAGCTATGACGAGATTGTGCCGAGAGGAATATAGAAGAATAAACCCTATGCTGAAGATTCAACTAAAATCAGGTGCAAAAAATTAATGTAGAGAAGAAGAAGCATTAAGTTGTCATTTGATTGTATATTTAGAGTCAACCGCCATCACTTTTTAAACTATTGTAATTATTGTATTTTTTAATTACTGAAGTAAATGTCTCATCTAGATAAAGCCGTCTTTTTCAAGAGTGGCCAGACCAAGCGATTGGAGAGCATTGTAACAACCACCCACAAATCCCACAGCACACAAGTGAAGCAATATCCAGTTCATAGAGATCGGAAGATCGAGGTCACAACAGTGACAGACCAAGAATACAAATTTTTCAATCCTTAAAAAAACTGACTTCAAGCCCCCAATAATACTCCACTCTGACAATTTTATGTCCTTCTGTAGATTATTCTAGGTGACAGGGGAAATATATTTATAGTGGAACTAATATGCTCATTTCCAGCTCCATAATTTTAGTCTTAGATTGAACAAGAATAGCTTTGCATGATTCATAGTTTCCCCCAGAAAAGCTAAATTTATCTAAAGCCAGGCCCTGGGGCAGTCCTTCATTTTAACGACAATTTAGCTTTACCATTAAGATCACACTCCCTTTAAGCCAGATTTGTTCTGATTGGCTGCCCCTTGCAAACAGAAGGTCCAAACAGCACGCGGTTGGTTCAAGAGCTGTGTGCCTGAGATGACCATATTAGGCATATCTGCTCTCAGTGACGTATTACAGAGATAGAAATAATAATAAAAAAAAACTGCCTCAGAGTGCTTAGATAAGTATGAAAACTTTGGGGAACAGAGCGTGCATGCATATATGCTAGCATAATGATCTGAGACTCGTTTCAAGGCAAAAGTAAAAAAGAGAGAGAAGAACCAAAGATCCTTTACATACTGACCGCACCGTTAAGACACCTATTTGCATATAAATCCCACAGAGCACTAAACGTTCACCCCCCTTCACTTTCTGAGCTAAACAGAAAAAATAATACTGACCTCTCACACTTACAACCTGAATCTCGCAATGTAAATTTCACTGCAGTGCAAGTGACCAAAATTTCACGGCCAAGAGTTACACCGCTTGCACACAATTCGTTGCTTTTAATTATCAACAGTAGACAGGGGGAAAGGTGTACAGGGGTCAGTGAAAGTCTCCCTTCTACTCCTCAACAAATGGATTTCCAGGGAGAAAAGTCAGGAGCAGATAACACATTCCAACCAAGGGAGGTCTGCCTCTACGCTTTCCTCTTCCCTTGAATGCAAAAATTTCACACACAAATGCATAAAGAGGAGTGCTGGTTTAAACTTCAAAGGTTTCAAGCCACGGGCATGGAGAGGGAAATGTCTCTCAATAGGAGAGTGAGTTTATGAATTTTTCAGGGCCCCACCTCGCTAACATTAAGGAGAGATGCAACAGGCTATTCTATGAAAATTATTTGGCTATTCCCACCTGTGCACTTGAAATAAAGGATTTTGCCTCCGGCTCATCCCGGCAGTGTTTGTCCACCTGAGCCTCAAACAAAGACCACAGGCTGATAACGCCTTTAAAAAAAATAGAAAAATGGAATGAGGTAATGAGGAAAAACAGGTTGAGAGTAAAAAGGGAGAAGGAATAAAACGAAGACGATAATTAAAAGGACAGCAGGAGAGAAGGCTCGAGAAAGCAGAGAGGAACATGGATAATGACAGCGTGAAAAGTAATGAGATAGAAAGCAGTTGGATGAAGCAGAATTCTTTCTGTCTCTGTTAGCCACCAGTCTTGGCTCACGCTGGGCTCTGTGAGGCCAAGTGTGAAAAGTAGCCATGAAAATGGATGGCAACAGGTAGCAAACCTTTCCTCCATGTCAAGAGGAGCCTCTGGGCTTGAAACCACTGCAAACATCAAAGCCACAACTAGCCTAGCCTGCCACTAAGTACTCTCCTTTCAAAGTCTGACGCTCAAATTTCGGTGAAAGGTTAAACTTGTTTTTTTCTTGTTTGCTCCTGCAGAACAAAGAGCTGACCCGGGGACTGGTTTACATTTTCAAGAAAGCTCCTTGTCAATTATTTGGCCACAATATAAACAAGGAAGTAGGTGCAGAGTAACTCCAGTGCAATGGCCAAACTGCAATTCATAGAGTGCGGGAAAACACGGTCATTCAGGCCAGTGTTGTTGTTTTTGTACACCTTCCGTCCCTTTAAAGGCACTAAAGAGGACTACTGTGAGTAATACTTAACCTCACAGTTAAGGAAAACTGTATTGGCTGTTATATACATTAAATAGTATATGGGTAAAAGATGAGGGCACCAATTCTTTGTAATTTGTCACCAAACTATATTTCATCCATGAAGCTTTCCTGTAGCATTTAAAGTTTGTGATTACTTCCAGCATCTGGTTCACCTTATATTAATGTGTCTTGTTTTTTATGTCCTAATTCCTGTGTATAGGAAGTGTATACAGTGTATACATTTGTGTTAGCCTATGACAGGCTGTTATTTGTACTGAAGACAAATCATACTAACACAATGAATGCAGCAATACTAACTATACAGATTACTTTCTAAGAACCGTCATCCTAAAAGAGCAGCTTGTGGGAAAGGTGGTTTTTTTTTTGTGTGAGCAAAGAGTTTAAGATCTGTCAAAGAAAACAAATTTATCAATCAGATTTCCGTTTCCAAATAACATTAAGGACAGAACTTGCAACAAAACTATGTGACAGTTCAGTATTTCCTGCAACATGTTAAAGAACACAAAAGACTGAAATGAACCCAGTTAATATTGATTTTATATAAATTTCCCTCTTGTGTCTGTGGAAACAGCATTCACATGTACATTACAATAATCCATATCACAGCGCTGCTTATCTATGATTAAATACCAGTTTTATAAAATGAAAATGTGTCATTAGCAGTGCCTTGCATAGTGCACTATGCATTTGTTTCATAAAAAGGGGCTGCAGGAAAAGCGCATCCAATGCTGGCGCTTGCTCGTTAATTTACACATTTCAGGGCTCTTGGTAGAGGTGACAGACGGTTTGGTGTAAAGTGTCACACCGTCTCATCAAGAAATGAATAAACTAACAGGGTGCTAAGCCAGCAAGAGGACAGATGCAGGGATTGATGACTCTCAATTAGACCTGCTAGGCCCGGTGGCCGGGCTAATGCCATAATGAGTCATCCAGAGCGCACTGCAGCATTTGTTGATCAACGTGATATATCCTAATCCAAGCTCAGGCATGAGCAGAATCACTAACAAAAGACTCAAAGAGAGGGGATTAACTATGATGCTAACTGAAGGAAACAAACACCAGAATGGGTGATTCAGGAAACATCAGCCATAATGGCTGCTATGGGCAGATTAAAGAGGGTATTTAGCATCTCTCAAACATAATGTGTGCCTCTGTGTCAAGGACAAGTGATTGTGCTGTGGAAGGAATAAAAATATTCTTTTTTCATGGCCAGACATGAAATTACGCAACATTGTTTGTTACACCCAGAAATATGGTGGTGTTCTGTGGTCTAGACATACACTAAAGTCAAAGCCAGTCCCCTTAATTAGAGATTGACTGAGATAGGATTTTTAAGACCAAATGAAGGTGTCATTCTAAACAGCATCATGGCAATGTAAAAATGCGACTGATGCAGCAATTAGTAGTAAAATTCCTGTCCTTTTAACTTTAAACTTTCTTGATATTCCTCAGTCAGCTGTAACCATAAGTGCAGGGCAAAGTGGAAGCATTCGAGACGTGCTGATTGTTGTTAAGATCTTATCTTATGTTAATGATTCCACAGCTATATTTAGAAATTATCTCAACATATATCAAACATTTACCATAGAAACCAGTGGTGTGAATGATGTCACTGTTATCTTACTGTAACAAAGCAGATGATCGTCATGATTCTCTCATCCCCCATCTTCCAAGAATTACAAGTTACAGGTTATCCACTGCAGTATATATAACTATGTCAGTGCATCATAATACTGTAGATCTGTTGAAGTGACTGCACGTACTGTAGGTCAGACTTGTGCTGTGCTGAATGTAACTCAGGAGAACCTGTTGAGATTTGGGTGATTAGGGTGTGTAATTAGACATGAAGTCAACACATTCAAATACTGTCAGAGTTTTGGAAAGGAGAGGTTGAAAGGTGCTTACGTACATGAAAAACTGTGAAATGTTAAAACATAATGTTATGCACTACACTGAAAACTTTAGATTTTTAACTTTTTTGATAAAACAACTGAAATGTGGTCAGAAAAATGGGTTCTTTTTTCTCCGGCAGAACACAGACACTGGCAGAGATCATCATTATGTATAATTAGCAAATGTAGTAATGTGGAGACCTGGTCGATGTTAAGTTATGTAAAACAGAGCACCTGCGTGAGATTCACACAATAGGGTTGAAATTGCAAAAAGCAGAAAGGAGGGGTGGCAACAAGTGCCCAGCAAATTAAACACATAAGCATCTTAATAATGAAATTAATTATCTTTAATACATTTTAGGACAGTGCAGCAAACACTGTTAATATAATTATAATAACTTCCTCAGACTAAAGTGCCTGCAGTACCTCTGAAAGTAAAGAGTCAAGCCAAAAAGTCTTTATAATCATGCAATGCTCATCTTATTATCATTGCAATAATCACATCCCATGTCTTGTGCAAAAGACTGCCCATTATTTAATCTTGCTTATAATGAATAATCCAGCTAACCTTACTGATATATTACTGTGGCCAACAATGCAGCAACTGCTCCAAACTTCACCCCAAACCGGAAGCAACTGGATCAGGCTAACATGATAATGCATGTACAGAGAATGCCCACTGATGTAAAAAACCCAATTTCAAGTCCTAAAAATGTAATAGATGAAAACCCGCACACCAGCACACACCTACACGCACATGCATCATTTCAAATCAGTGAGCAATATGTGACTCAGACCTGCAAAAAATACACAGTCACACAATCAAACCTCTTCGTGAATTTATCACATAAATCCATTGTTGACGTATCACCCTTTTAGAAGCATATTTACACATATAACTGTGTATATACCTAATTAACAACAGCTTTTGGATGATGAGATTCTTAATCATTCTTAAAACATTTCGAGTTACATCACAATTTGGTTGCTTTAAATTTCTTCACAGGAAACAATTTTCAGATTTAGGTTCACGTATTGTTTAGGAGGTTTTTCTCCCCCAACTACATAAGAAATAAATGTCTTAAAATGCTTCATAAGCAACACGAGCTTTTATGAAACATATAAAGAGGGTAAGCATGCAATCATGTTTTGTTCCGTACATTAACAGATGATCTTGATAAAGATAGTCAAATCAGAAACATGGCAGCCAGCAGCTGTCATAGTTTTTCTTTTCTGCCTTTATTTCTTTCATGTAGTCATTCATTCAGTCTGGTTTTCATCTTCCTACGAAACCATCTTCTCCCTCTTCAGACTCGCCACTCTCACCTGCCCTGCTTTCCTGCCTGCATCACCTGATCTTCCCTGGCCTCTGATCACCAGGAGCCACTTCACTAATCAACCCTGCAGGATATATACCCTAAGCTCGCAACTGCTACTCTGCCAGATTGCTTCTGTGCTCTTTGCCGTTGCTTTCCAGAAAACTTTTTTGCACCTCATGCCTTACTTGCTTTTAGGACCTTGTTATTTTTGAAGTAAAGCTTGCTTTTTCCCCCCACTTTTACATCCTGCTCTGGTTTCATTGTAACTAAACTATCTTTGGCAGTATCTACTGCAAAAAAATCATAACACTTATGAAATTTGCTCTCACCTCAAAATGATCAAGTGGTATTTTGGCACATTACAAGCACTGTAAGGTATCCGAAACCATGCAAGATTTGATTAATGTTTGCAAAATCGAAAGTCCTCATTTTGTCTGATGTGTTAGAAGCAAGAAAAATGGACGAGCATAAGAATTTGAGTTTGAAGAGCAAAGGCTGGCCTGTGTGGTCCGATCCAGCAGACGAGCTACTGTTGCTCAAATTGCCAAAAAAGTTAATGTTGGCTGTCAGAAAGATGCCAGAATTTACAGTGAATCACGGTTTATTCCCACCCACCTCACCACTCTAAACTGTGTTCTAAATAACCCTAATCACTCAGGTTACTAACACAGAGACTCTACACTCAGACATGTCCTGTTGCATTGCTTCCAAGCACTTTGTTCTCCAATGTGTGCCTTTCTCTTGTTTTGTATATATTCTTCTTAGCTGTACATATTTCTTTTGTTTGCTACTTATTCCTGCTGTCTTACTATTTATATTTTACTTTTGCACGGAGCATGGGGCACCTATTTCGTTGTTGAAGTACACGACAATAAAGGTCTGTTCCATTCTATTCTATGTTGCGTATTGGGTTGCATAGCTGCAGACCAGTCCGTTTGCCCATGCTGATGCCAGTCCAACAGCACAAGCACCAACAATGGGCACATGACCATCAAAACTGGACCACAGAGCAATGAAAGAAGGTGGTCTGGTCTGACGAATCATGTTTTCTTTTGCATCATGTGGATGGCCAAGTTTGTGCAGTATGGGAATAAGGCAAGCCATCGGACGCAGTGTGATACTTTGGGCAGTGTTCTGCTGGCAAACCTTGGGTCTTGCCGTCCATGTGGATGTTACTTTGACACACACCACCTACCTAAGCATTACCAGAGAGCATGGACACCCTTTCATGGAAACAGTATTCTCTTATGTCCGTGGCATCTTTCAGCAGGATAATGTTCCCTGCCACAAAGTAAAAGAATGGTTTGAGAAGCAAAATGAGATTGAGGTGTTGACTTAGTCTCCAAATTCACAGGATCTCAATCCAGTCGAGCATCTGTGGGACGTGCTGGATAAAACAAGTCTGATCCATGGAGTTCCCACCTCTCAACTAAAAGGATCTATTGCTAACATCTTGGTGCCAGATACCACAGGACACCTTCAGGTGCCAGTGGAGATGCATCGACAGATGAAGGCTGTTTTGGCACAGTAGAAGGACCAATGCAATATTGAGCAGGTGGTCATAATTTTATGCCGGATAGGTATAATTTGTAGACACAGATTAAAGCCTGTGTTTGAGGAAAAAAAGTTTCAATTTAAAAAAAGCAAAAAGCATATTTTTTATCAAACTGTCCCGGTTTTGTGCATGCTTGTTCATGGTGCATTATGCATGGTTTTACTGCAACACTTAAATAACTCAAGTCATCATTAATGCCATGAGTGTCAGCTGTAATTTTCATACCATGGCACGTAAAAATGTGTGCTGAAAAAAAGACATTAAAAATAATAATTTGAACCACACTGATAGTTGAAAAATATTACCAAGACAAAGACAATCACAAGTCTATGAAAAGAGTGTAGGGATGGCATTTGCAATTAATTACGCCCTAATGATGATAATATGAAGGAATAAGGATTCAGCACACCACTTGTTACCTTTTATACACAACAGACTTGAAGCCATCAATTAAGATTTTTAAAAAGGGTGTAGAAGGCCATCTTCTTTCTTCCTCTTTGTTAATGATGGCTCATATCTCAAATTTTTCTGCCCTCACCACGTGGTAATAACGGCAGTATCTGATACTAATGCTGATGACGTAAATGTTTAAGGGATAGGTGGATAGCCTAAATGTGTGTACCCTTTTGGATGGGATGTGTTTCACAGTGAGGAGTGTCAAGTGTGAACACAAAGCATCATTTCCTAAAGCAGCATGAAAATAGGTTCCAAAAACATCATCTCCAGAGCTTTACTGTCACCTACGGAAACACATTCAGAAAGTGTGAACACAGTTTCACGGTGGAGCAAGGCTAGTTATAGTTTGATAATCGAAAACACATACAGTATAGAAAACACATGTTCACAGTTGGTGTGCTAGAACAGGGGCAAACCTATAAACTTGTAAAATCCATTTAATTTTAAAGATTGAAACACGAGCTTTTTGGTCTATGAGAGTGGGAAATATAATTATGGCAGCACATAAAGGGTTAAAAATAGGACATTAGTCTGACACCACCTCACAGACAGCTCACAGTTTACAGGATCTCACCTTAGCTCAGGGTCATCGCTGTGAATGGTGACCGTCTGTGGCACATTAAATGGATTCTTAAGGACAAACTCCATGTACTCTGCAGAGCCCAGGCTAGCATAAAGCAGGTGCTGGGTGGTGATGGCCTGGCTCAGCATGTTGGCGATGCTCTCTGCTTTGCTCTTGGCTTCACTGGGATTGGCCAGCTGGGCTTTTTTAGACTGAGCCTGTTACCAAAGAAAAATAGCAAAAGGCTAAAAAACAATTCAGCACTCGGCTGCAAACTACCATAATTATTACCAACGCAGTTGACAGAGAGGGACTTCATTTTTGATCTACCTTGCGTGCTGAAGTTTGCATACACATCATTTTTGTTAAAAAGAAATATCCTAACCAACATAAGGTGTACTCACTCACTTTACCTAAACTTTTGCACAGTTTAAAGTCTCCCAACTCTTTACACTGACTTTTGCATTTTCCCAGATCACAGCAGTCATTTTGAGTCCAATGTTACCATAACTGATGACATTTAAAAAATGATCCCAAGGTTGCAGTAAAACAGAGTTTTTAAACATGACATTTCTGATAAGAAAGAAAAGAACGCTCGACTGAATAGCCTATGATTACATGTCATAGATGTGTACAAGCTTTAAAGAATGCTTTCAGAGCAGGCAAACATTCCTTTGGAGCCAATGACCTTTTCAAAATCAGTTTATATTTTCTTAAGCGAAATGAGATAGATCCAGACTTTTATCAGTGCTATAACACTGAGAACTGATCATTGTAATTGATGTTTATTCTCAAACATTAAACTGGTAAAAAATAAAAAATAAAAATTCCAAAGCTGATGGAAAAGATTTTTTTTTCATCCCTGACAAATATGCCATTATAAATTTAATGTAAACACTTTTATAAAGCTCATAATGCCCGTTAGTAAATTGGTCCAAAAAAATAAATTAAAGACCTGAACTTCAGCTTCAAAGTCATGGTGACAAAGCTAAGTGCGTGCCAAAACACAATATTGAAATTTTCCACGGGTTTAGTCCTCTAAAATGATCCCCAGCATCAACCTGGTCAAATGACGGTTGAGCCCAGAAAGAAAGTTAAATCCAAATTGAATTTGAAGAAAGAACTCAAAAAATATGGTTCCAGTGACGCGAACAGGATTGAGTTATATTCCAAATTGTAATAGCTGTTACAAAGCTGTGAAACAAGCAGATCACAAGGTCTTACCACAAGAAGAAAAAGCCTGCACCCATGGGTGAAAAAAATGCAAGTTGTCACGAACAGTTAGTTAAAGTCAAGTTCTTCTAACAAAGACATCATGATGTTAAATGTCTTCATTATGGACCTAGGATGTTAAAGCTGCATTAAAGATGACTTAACAGTTCCAACCATCCCTTAAGACTATGCTCATGACAAGTGTCATATCAGTCTTGTGTATGTGTTACAACCTATCCTGACAGCGTGCCCTTTAACCTCCTGTGCTTTTGTGACTGTGAGGAGAACTCTGAGACATGTTTCGGAGCAAGAAAGCAGGCTGTTGCTGTGCCTCTGTTGTCTTTCTCAGATATCAGTGAAGAAGACTCAGAGGGACAGATTATTGTAGCTCAGCTTTAGATAGGAGCTATTTTTGGCTCACTGTGGACTTAAAGTGCAATGTTTGACCTCACCGCAACCTTTGCCGTTTTAGCATCTTCGCTGGCCTCCCGCTCGCGCACTGCAGCCATGCACTTCAGCTTTCGGTCACTGTCATCGGGTTTGTTTAGGCTGTTCTCCTTGGGCACGACACCGTCAGCTCTGATCCCGCGTCGGAACAATGGCACCCGATCCTCATTTATCGGCAGTCTGTCTGCTTGTGCAGTGTTCCTCGCTGTGAAGTAGAAACAAGCTGCAATCATGAATATATTTACTGAACAGAGTGGAGTCTAATCTCTTAGCCATTTTGACCATATGTTCTAAAAACCCTCCAAATGTCCACAAGAGAGAAGCGCTGACAAATTAAAGTATTGTTGGAACACAAGAAAGAACAGCTTGTTTACAGAAAACAGTCCAGTCAAACAACTGGCACCGCTACAACTGGGCCAAAGCCCTGCTGCTGGGAAAACAAACTCACTCTCTCCTCCTAAATTATCTTTCACCTCCACGGTCATGTGTACTCTTCAAGGACTAAAACACCTAATTAAAATATCAAATTCATCTACCAGTCACCAAATAATCCATCCTCATTTGGACTGGATCATGCAAATTACCCGACTGTTTACACGAGAATTTGCCTAATCCTGCACTTTGAATAACACTCAGACATTAACAAACTTTAAGTGAGAGCTGCTTAAACCATATTTTTGTTATCTAGAACAGCTTTACTCTTCCAACATTCAGTTTGGAGCCAAGTGATGGAGCTCGCATCGCAGCAATGGGAAGATAAACCCAGACTGACTGAAATTGGCCACAAATCTTAAACAGAAATGGGCTGTTTTCAGTGCGGAGAAAAAAAGCAAGTAGTACATCAGGAAGTGAGGGTGAGAGATGGGGAGACCGAGCGGGGAAAAAGAGAGAATGACAGAAAGAAGACATGAGGTTTATGTAAAGTAGTTTATTTAAGCTCTTCAAGAATATTACCTATGGTAATTGGAATGCATCAGACATTAGACTTGGATTAATTCCTTGAGCATTCATCAGATGGTTTTCAGGATCCTCTGAAAACTATTCTTCTGCTTTATTTTGTACTCCTTGTAATGCTTCGGGTTTTGCATTGCATTTGTTGTTAGATATACATCACCTCACTGGTCATAGTGCCTCTGAAATTACTTGTATTTGCTGTGTCACTTTGATAAGTAACAGCCTGATGGGATATCTGACTCCCTTTCTGTTTTCTACTCCCACTATCACTGTTCTTCTCTGAACCAGTATCATTATCAAAGAGGCACTGGCCTGACAGTCACCTAACCTGATAGTGTCCAGCTATACTGGTTCCTTCACAGCCACGGGCAGGCAGAAGTGGGACAGGGATGGTGAGATACACACACACACACACACACA